TTAAGTCATCCGCCTATGATGTGCTAAAGGTTGATGCGTAAGCTTCGGCCTACATCATGGGGCCCGGGTATGTCCTAAAGGATAGGTACCGGGTATGCAGTCAGGGGGCTTCGGCTCTCATGACAACAATAAATGTATAAATGTATAATGTATGTATATGTATATCGTTTGTCGTTTAAAAGTTATAAAGCCGTCCTAAGACTTAACGGTCACCCTGTATAGATATGATTCTTTCAGTTACTTAATTTGTTTATGTTTATGATTTACTAGCTGTACCCGCGGGCTTTGCCCCGTTTAACTTAACAAGTGAGCTCGTTCGCATGGCTCAATCACGTCCTGGTTGAAGTACGTTCGCTACGCTCACTCACCTTTTGGTTGCAAATTAAATGAATGATTAAATGAATTTATTTATTTCCATTGAGAACAAACTTACTACATGCATTTTGGCTGTAATCAAAATTTAAAAAATAATAGTGCTGCACCCTGTTGGTAATCCTTGTAACTTTAATGCTATTGAACATCATAGAAAAGAACCAACTTGTTTAATTGAAACAGCTAAATACTGTTAAATTTTTAAAAGAATTTCTTAACTTCTTTTTGAATATGAAAAATCATAAGGTTATCATTGGAAACGCCAGAGCCACTGGGGCGGAGCCCGAAAGCCCGATCAGAACAAAAACTACTTAGTTTTCCTATTTAATGCCCAAAGAATCGGAGTACCAAATTTCAGCCTCCTAGGTAAATGGGAAGTGGAAGAATTAGTGATGAGTGAGTGAGTGAGTCACAGTCAGTGAGGGCTTTGCCTTTTATATATTTAGATTATACTGAGTCTGTTCTATTTTTGTGAAATGCTGTAATAATATTTTACTGGGAATAATTCGTTTTAAAAGAAATCATTCATCATGGATATAGGAAATAATTAGGATTCTATAATCATTGCCCTATCAACCTAGGCCCTTTTCCTGAGTGTTATGAGGTTTATGTTTTGATTTATTTTTGTGTAAACCGTAATATAATCCCCCTGCCACAGCAAATCTGTAGACTGAATTTCCAATTGCCTGATTATATAATTTCACTAAAATATGTTAGAAAATTATCCTATTTTCCACATTTATTTATATTTTCCTATTGTAGCGAATTTCCCTATAGGGAAGTAGCTATTACCGTAGGTCTCATGGTAAGACTTAGGCCCGGGACCGATTTACTTTTTCATTTTAATGTCCCCAGAGGCCAAAAACACCATTCGTTCAAATTTTTATATATGTATGTGTCCGTGAACACGATAACTTGAGTAATTTTTATCCGATTTTGATGAAATTTGGTTTGAAGGTGTAAGGCGGGATAAACTTGAATGAGTTCGCGATCCAGCATGATCGGACCATGGGAACAGGGTTTTATGGGGGGTTTTATGGGGTAAAAATTGGTTTTTCTCACTTTTTACCCTCAAAACACAAAATTTCCCAATTTTTCTCTAAACCTTCTTAAAGAGCTTAAAAAACAAACAATTCAGTATATCAAAGTGTTTTTGTACGGTTATTGGTTACGGAGAAAACTAAAAAAATGGTAAATTTAAAATTCCCATGTTATTCTTATGGAGAATATTGTAAAATGTTGTAGTTTGCTTGTTTATGGATATATTTTGATCAAACTTGGCAAATTTATTTATTTTATAGTAAGCCATCAATATTTTACTAAAAACACACTACTTTATTAGTTTCCTTGTAGCAGCAAACCTAGGTACTCGTTAAACCTAATATTATTTAAATAGATCAATTGAAAATCAATTCGGCCAAATGGAAATTCGCTTAGACGGCAGGTTTGCTGCGGCGGGGGTATTTTTCTATTTGTCGGTTTGGAACTATTGTGATAGCTTTTTGTTTACAGTGCAAACCATGGATGTATGGATGTATGGATGGATGGATGTATGTGACTAGCAAACGCGAAAAATACTAAACCGACAAGGTTGAAATTTGGTATGATGATAGATGACATCCCCGATTAACATATTCTTACCTCAAAAATTCTTTCAGTCTCCGCCCCGGTGGCTCTGGCTCTGGACTTTCTCATGTTAACCTTATGAGTATTCATATTTAAAGAAATTAAAGAATTAAATGTTTCATTCAAACTACAAGTATATTACTTTTCCGAGAACTAGCCTTTATCAGGACTTCCGCTCCCACGCTAGTTGGCAACATCAACTGTGCTATGTGAAAACAATAAATCTTGAGTAAATATACTGTAATGTTGAATTTTGAGGTTGTGGTGTTCCTTCGTAAACACATTCAATTATAATCTAGGAATATGTAAATTTATTGTTATACGTTAACTTTATTGATATTCGATTCGCTACAGTACTATAACATTATATATAGTATAGTGTTATAGTACTATAAGTAAAAGGCACCTATAACATTTTCAATTCATGTGCGTTGTATTTTAGAGTTGGGAAACAAAAGAATCCTGTGTACAACTTATTTATATGATATTCTCATTGGTTGCAATTTAATAAGTGGTGTAGCAAAACACAAACACAAAATTTATTGAAATAAAACTAAGTCAATGTTAAGTGAATACAGTCCACTCTTGGTAATTCAAACACTTGATAATTCAAAACTTTCGATAATTCAAAATGAAGGCTCAGTCCCTAGAGAATCTCTCAATATTTCAAATTTTTACCATGCATTTTGATACACTCGGTATTTCAAAGTCCAAATAGAGGGCAGGTCAATTTGTAACACGCAGTAATTCAAAGTTTCGTCGGAAAAACACTCTATAATTCGAAGTAACTCAGTAATTCGAAGTTTCGTCGGTTAACACTCTATAATTCGAAGTCATGTTGTAATTTGAAGTTTCGTCGAAAAAACACTCTATAAATCAAAGTAACGCAGTAATTCGAAGTTTAGTCGGCAAAACACTCTATAATTCGAAGTGATCTCTTCCTGTTATAACAGGAAACTATACAGTACAGTACATCCTGTTCCCATGGTAGGCTAGTGTTGGATGTTTTGATGTTTGTTTAGTTAGAGCAGTAGTCAGAGTTAGTTCGCTGACTTGTTTTTCTAAGTTGGCAATCCGATCTCTAGATTGCGCGACATCTCCTTGAGCACAAACGTAGTTGTCGACAGCTGATAGTTCAGCTATTGGCGAAATATATAGCGCTAAATAACAGATTTCTTTGCAACTACAGTAACTGAAAAATAAGCCGATTGTTTAAAAGTGTACTAAAATACGGTATGATGTTTTATTGTAACGTGCTGTACCTTTGTATGTATTAAACAAATGAACTCTCTGTAATTCGAATGGTTTATTTTTCTCCCGATAAATCGAACTCTTGATAATTCAAAACTCTTGATAATTCAAATTTATATGCTTGGCCCACCAATTTCGAATTATCAAGAGTCTACTGTACTATTAATAAACATATTTGCGACATAAGAACATTTAATGGAAGCCTAAAAAACAGTTCTAAAAAGGCATTCTATTCTTTATACTAGTAAAAAATTAAAATGAGGGTATAAAAAATAGTTTTCAAAGATCATGTTGATCAATGTACATTCATCTAGTCTTGAAAAAATAAGTATTTAAAAGCTTACTCCAAACATAATGAAGTTTATCGGTTGATAACAAAATGTCATCATTTTTCAAACCATGTAAACCTTATAGTTTTCCAACTGTTGCCTTGTTTATTTTTTCTTTTTATTATTTTTTTTTTTTACTTTATGATGTTTCAATTAATGGTTCAAATATTCATAGTATATATATTTCTGAACAAGAACATATACCCATGTATATATAACTAATAAACGTTCCATTAAGCATTTTACACGAGAGAACACTGTTCGGCAAGTAGCCGGTCATCGTAACCGGTCATCATGAAGGAGCTTGGACGTCGTGCAACAGCGCTGAGCTATATTGGACGTCGTGCAACAGTCAAATATTTATTGGACGTCGTGGCACTTGGACGTCGTGCAACTGGCAGCGACTTTGGATGTCGTGCAAATGATACTTTTTTACAATTCTATAGTGCGCTGTTTCACGACGTCCAAGTGCCACGAAGTCCAAAGCTTGTATAAATACTATATTTTTGGCAGTTACTGTACTTTTGGACGTCGTGGCACTTGGACGTCGTGCAACAACTCAAAAATTATGTTTTGGACGTCGTGGCACTGAATAAATATTATTGGACGTCGTGGCACTTGGACGTCGTGCAATGCATCCAAAAAATCTATTGTGTCTACTACATTCTGGATAAAAAAATCATGGACAATTCCCATACACTTAAGGACACTTTGTCGTAACCTTTGTCGGTACGAAAACCGAATATATTTTTCTGATTTGTCAAACTGTATTAATCTTATTCTTCACTGTAGTTGTACCAGAGAGAAAAGTGTCGTCGTCACTGTACGCAATTCACTTAATTGTGATATCACGGACAAAATGAAATTCACAAATGACAAAATATAGGATTTAATTTTAAAAAAAAAAATGAACTAAAATGAGCTTCTGGGGACATCAAACTTTAAAAGCATATCGGTCCGAGGTCTACCATGTCACCTACTGTACCGGTAACAACTACTTTCCTAGTAGGGAAATTTGTTAAAACAAAGTTTCTTGATACCGTATCCAACACATACTTATCCTTTGGACACTTTTTTTTTACAACTACAAAGTATGTCCAGCAAACCTATGCAAGGGACAAACTAGTGTGATCATGATTATAAATTACGAAAATTACTCTGTTCACAAAATTTAGGCGGTTTTAGGAGAAGCAATCTATCCCCCCGATTTGATCTTACCTTTAAAACAATAACTCGACAGGTGAGGTTTGTCAAAACGTCAATCAGCTGCAACGTATGTAAAAAATGAAGTGGGGGAACTTCCCCTCAAACTGCGTAAATTTTGTGAACAGACTTTTGCGTGATAGGCCTGATTGAGAACAAATCCTGTTGATCAACATTTTTATTTTATTTGAGGACTTCAGTTTTATATTAGCTACATACCTGAAAAGAGCAAACTTGTTGTCTCAAGTAGAAATCAGACTTTTCTACTTGAACTTTAAACTGAAAGAATGCTTCGACTTTGCTCAAACACGATCGACATATTAAGGGGGGTAAGCCATCACCCTCATACATCTGAAAATAACATTAAAAGCTATATAATTTTAGAGTATCTAAGAGTAAGAACTTTTAATTTTACACAGCATGTTTTAAGTCCTTGACCGACAGTTTCTGTTAGTGTTAAGGTGACACGTGGTCACACACACTGATGGTTTTCGTTTATGTTGAAAACTTATTTTTTTATTACTTTTTAATGATCAAGTGATGTGGTTAATGATTGTAAATTTAATTTCAGACTATTTTAAGGTGTAAGTTAGTCAGTATTTTATTCATGGATGGTTACAGCACGGTCAAACTTATCAAACTTGACTTCAGGACGTTTTGAATTCCGAGATCCACGGTTAGGAGATATTATGTGGGTTTACTGGATCCCTGACGAGACTAGCAGTGAAAGTGAAGTTGACGACACTACAAAGATTCCGACTTCATTTTAGCAGATCATGAAGAACAAGAGTAAGTTATGTAGATGACAGTTCTGAAGAAGAGGATCATGTTTTGTTAGCAGAGTAGCTTCTCCAAAAGCTATTCAAGCTATAGTCTGTTCATCAAGAGTCTGAAGTGAAGCACCGCCTCCTACTAAATTTATGGCCTCAGCAGGCTGGGCGACAATTTTAACTTCCCACGTTTTATAATCACCTTAAGAGTTAGTCAGTTAGAGTTAGGATATAATTTTGATATTTTGATTCGCGCCTGGTTATTAAGTTAATGGAAATTTGTTTAACCTTTTGATTAGTACCAGTATTTTGCAATAATCAACTATCCTACATCAATTTGTATCAATCTGTATACTAAGATACTCTTGCAACAAAACCAATATAAATTACCTGTTAAGCCCTCGTTGTTTTTTAAAATTAGCCTACTTTATTATAGACAGTTACAACTTTGTGACATATTATTCCTATTTACAGAAAGTAGTCTATGAATTAACACAACATAAAATAAATCTATTAACAGTTTATCAATGTGTTATAGTATAGTTAAATATTTGGATGACTAATGTTTTGCTAACTTAGGAGAAAAATGTATACAAATAACAACAAGAGAGTGTTAAACTAGATGCAATTAGGATATGTGGTTTAGAAGTAATATGTTGGTCATTAACATATAGAAATAGAATGTGATGAATTGGGAAATAGATACACGTCGTAGATAAACTTGGCAACAATTCTGATAGTATGCATTGGAATCGTTGGAGGATAGAAACATTTTTGTAAGATAACAAAGTCTTCTTTAGGCCTAATTGAAACATGTTTTTATATCAATCGGCAAGTAATTAAAGAAAGTTGGAGCAAGATAAAGATAAAAGTTTTTGAAAGCTGTTGAATTTGGTTTAGGGACTTACACATTGAAACATCTTCAAAGGGTCAATGCCCGAGATCCTATGGTGTGGCGATCTTCCCCTTTTTTATCATAGAAAGCTTTTAAAAGTTTAAAAACATACAAATTTCTTAATCTAAGTAATTTTTAATCTTTAAACAAATGTTCGGAATGTTCGAATTTTGTTTTGTTGGATACTATGCAGACAAAATACTTCTGTATGGTTATTATTAATTTTAGGTTCGAGTAATATGCTCCTCCCCACACCTCAATGTCATACTCGATTTTTGAACTCATCAGAGCATATAATATATAGTTCTCAAAACATTTTTTCTACAGATTGGCCTCAACATTGATACCTGGCTGGGTAGCTGAGTGGATATAGTGCTCGCCTAGTAATCAAAAGGTCGCGGGTTCGATCCTGAGAAAAGTAAGTAGCTTTTTGATGGTTCGAAACTGGACCCAGCTGTTCCTGATCATTGGGCTTTAAATAAATGATCCTGGCTAATGAAACAGCTGATCTTAGTCAGTAACAAAGCTACACAGATCATCTCACACCATTCTACACTCATCCTTCACTCATATTTGGGTTAAAATACGCACCTAAGTGGCGTCCTCATCTCAATGATTGATAATTGATAATTGAATAATTGATAATTGAATTAAATTAACATATAAAAAATCCGGATATATTTCAATAATTTTTGTCTCGCTGCCTCAATACGTATTATCCAAGATAATTTTGAGTCAAACATTTAACCCTAGATATTTTATTGATTTTACCTATTCAATGTCCGCGCATTGACACTATGGATCCATTTTACAATTTAAAGAATTATATTTTAATGGCTCAGCAAACTAATTATACAAGACAAATTGAAGATTATGTATTTTGTTTTAGGACTCATGACCACAAAGTTTTTTGTGAACCGCACTCTTGGCATCTTTATATCAGCTTGCATTTCTTGTCTAAGCTGCTCTAGATTTGAACTGCTGTAAAACAGTGCAGTATCGTAAGCAAACGCAACTAGTCTACCATTGAATACACATTGTTTTAATGTTATGGTACGACAGCTGACATACCACTGACCCACTGAGCGCATAAGGGTTTGACGGGGAAGATGTGAAGAGAAAGTTGTTTCGAGGAAACGACTCTGATTGAATCATCCCCCAAGTCGCACGACAAAACATGTGACAACCTCTACCCTCATTGGCCCCAACCCACCGCACGCACTATTGTGAGGCGGTGCTTTACTTCATACTCTCAATGAACAGACTATAATGACGCTGAAATAAATAATTTAGTATTGAGAGGACTAAACTTTAAAACGCCTGCTAGGAACATCATTAGGAGCTTACCTCGATTACATGCGCACAAGCTAGAACACTAGGAAACCAGCCAAGCAAAAAAGAGGTACCGGTAGGTACCGCAGTTATTATTTTATTCATGACATAATTACGAACATGATCCTGATAAATACAAATGTCAAACTTGCAACTGAAAGAGCTGGTTTCCAAGTTACAACTAAGAAAAACAACTATAGAAACGAAGACATTGAGGGGCTCAATACTCCATTTTGGATTATTGTTAGCATTATCAGTTATATCATCTTCAGATGGAGAGAATATTTCATCTGTATTTATAAAATATCTTTACAGCAACTTAAGTTAGACGTTTTTATTCTGCAACTATTTCCATTAAACGATTTGAAAACTTATGTGCCTACGCTTTGATGATAGGACTCGTAACCAAAAAAGAGTAGGTACCGTAACAGATAAAGCTGCTTTTATATAGGAGCTGTTTGGAAAGTTCATCATAAACGGTAAACGATTTTGCTCCATAACTTCAGAGATATGAATTGATGAGATCCTAGTTCCATTTTGTGGACGATAGGGGTTAAGTTTTGAGTCTACATGCTCAAAAATCTAAGAAATTGTACAGAATCAAAATTATATGTCTTTAGGTGACTAAAACCTCGTAAGTTATCTTCTAAATACATTTATATTCCGTTTGACTAAGTATTTCTACCTCAGTAGAACAAGAGCTTTGACATGCCAACTCAATCTGTGATAAAACTTTGCCGGTCAGTAAGTTACCTAATTGTTTACAACAAGGACATTTAAGTTTAAAAAAACAGTAAGTTAACAAAACATTAACTCCAGCGGATAATCGGTTCAGCTCGCTTGAGTAGGTAACTTAATAGATGAATTGCTGAAAAATCTAACATAATGACTAGAAAATTATCACGGAAGAATTACTTCAAATCCCAATAGAATTGAGAAGTGTGGCAACCCTAATCTGAACTCTTTAGTGTTCTTAAGAAAAAAAATTAAACTTAATAAGTTTAGACAACTAATATTATCAATTAGCAGCACACGGCAGCACAACTATCGAACTCACAGAGTGTGTGACCTGGTCTGCCTTGCTGCCGGATCAGCCACATTCCCAACATTTATAGATCCGTTGTCTAACTATTAAAAACTATTTCAATATGACTTCCGTATCTGTTGTCAAAAACAACCAAATGAAAATATAGGTAGATATATCGATTACATTATTCGAATGTTTCATTTGATACCTATATCGATTTTTCAACTGTTTCATTCGATATATCGTTTGGTGAGTTAGGTTAACCTAATTCAATAACCAAACAATATTGAATTAAACAATCGATAAGAAATCAATCGATATTTTCATTCAGTTGTTTTTGACAACAGATACGGAAGTGTACCCAACTGATAAGTGTTATAGGCTAAGCCCAAAGGGATTCGAAGCAATGCTTCACTAATAAAATGAATTAAATATATAGCATAGGCCTAACGGGAAAAAAATGGGACTAGGCCTAACCCTATATTAGATTAATTCATTCACTAAATTTTAGTAGGGGTCTACCTATGTCGGTCTTTTTTTAAAACTCCTAATGAAATTAATTAAAGTTATTGAACAGCCTAGATGAAAATTGTCTTTAAAATACCCAATCTCCCCTTAGTTTATGCCTTCTTATATTAAAATTATCATAACCTAAAAAAATTTTTACCTGTACATTAGCTATTTGCATAATTTTATGAGCCAAGAACCCAGATCTGCTGTCGTTATAATTGGAAAATATTGACACATTACCACTGCCATCCAATAAACACAAGCGGCATAATAAGTTTGGACTGTAATCCATGTTGACTGACATGTTTAAGTTACTGTATGTTAGTTTCTAATTAGTTATATTTCCCAGTTTTATTCGAAGAAGGCCTAACAAGGCCATACCTTACTATGTTTTGTGTTATTTTAAAAATTGTTTAGGCTATATGGTTAAGTTAATACATTTGTATAAACAAACTATCTCGAATTGCATGAAATAAAGAAAAAAAGGCCTTGTGAACCTGAAAGTCAGTGTTTTGTCTCTTGCTCTTCTTTCTTTGAAGGAAGAGAAGAATGCAATTCACCCTTCACCCCACCCCCCATCAAACTCCGCACTTCTTTCTTTCCTTTAATTCCTTTCCACTTGACCTTGCATGCAGCGGTTCTCCTCTGTTTTTTTTCTCACTGGGATGACAGACAAGTTAGTTAGTACCATTGTCTGCCGCTTGTTGCCGCGCTCCGCTGTGTCTGGCTAGTGGCTGGCTGTCTGCTCAGCCACAGCCATACATATGGCTCAGCTCATTGCTCCTCCAGTCGTTTCCGTTTGTTTACTTTTTGAGTTGAGGTTAATATAGACAAGAGTTATTTATTTACTTAGCCGGAGTTTTTTTTATTCTTAATATTTTTCTTCCGATTAGGGTATTGTTTATGATCCATGTTAAGATGTTCTTCTTTTAAGAGGCCAAAGTATGAGGCAAGGCTGTAATTTTTAAAGGTTAAAATTTTAGGCTATGGTTTAGTTTAGAATTTCTTCCTTCAAAAATATGGGGTTTTCAAATCAGTCCCTCTATTAGTGCTTATGAATGTTGGAACCTTGGTAGGTTCTGGTAGGGGCTGTTAATTTTGTGCAGACTTAACTTAGTTAGAGTGTAACTCAGTAACTTACCGGTTAGGCATTACAGTGTGCTGGTGTCTATGTAGGTGAGTGTTTTAACATCTGAGCAAGCCTATGTGTGGATTTATTACGGAAAGATTTAAGTGAGGCTAGGGTATTTCAAGTTAACTTACTTTAAACTTTTTCATTCTATTTTTGGGACACTTCTTTCTGACACCTCTTATTGACAATTGTTACAATCAATTTGTCGCGCCTCAGTTTTGTGCACCTTTTTGACAATTGTTACAATCAATTTGTCGTGCCTCAGTCTTGCGCACCTTTTTGCCAAATATTACAAACAATTTGTGACACCATAGTCTTGCACACATTTGTCAAATTAAAAAAAAAACCATTTACTGAGTGGCAAGTCAAATGGCAGTTGTGTAAATTATAGGTTGGCCTACCTCGTTGAAGCAAAAATGCAGAGGGCAGCTCAAAAGCAATTTTATGTATTTAATGTCTCATTTTACTGTAATTGTTTTAAATTTAACTTAGTTCATCAATGTAACTTAATTAGAGGAACTGTAAAAAATACCTTTATTTAGGTATTTATTTTTCAATTCGACAATTAACTTATTGAGATAAAAATGTGTAAGTTAAGTTAGTCGGCTAAGTAAGATTTAAACAAATTGCAAATGAAAGTCATCTTCTTTTAGTTTATTTGTATCATCAATGTTTACAATAAACAAGAAAATTGCTTTTGGGCTGTAATGCAGGGTTCTGCTGTACTAAAAACCTGTGCATCAGATCACGTTCCCAATCCCGAAAAATTTAAGTCATTTTATTTCTTGTGATGGTTAGCAGTTGTTTGTAAATATTTTGAATAATATGATTTATTTGTATATACTGAAGTGAGATATCCCATCGATCTATATGGTCGCCAATTTGAACACAGTTGAATGAGCCATTCATAAAGTTCTCTAATTAGTGTCTAATAATATACTTCATCACTAGGGCCTAAAGTGTCTCTTTTTGACCCGACCTCCAGTTGACCCAATAATGCCAGCTGATTTGAAAATATCGTTTAGTATTTTAATTAGTGTCGTCAACGGGCGATATGGCAACGTCACACTAGCCTCGTCTTGTGATTGGCTACCGCCAACTGCAGACTCTAGTGGTTAAGTTACTAACATGGTAAAGGATTACCGGTACTAAACAATACTTTTCCGTAAGTAACTTAGGTAAGTTATTGTATCTTTTGTGTTAACCTTTCACAGAATTAATCAAACCTCAATAGGTGCAGACCTAACTTAGTTATGCATTTCGGTACTTTCCTGTTAAAGGGAACATTAATTATCAATGATTTCTTTTCGATATATCGATACTTTTGTTTTACTTCACGGTCCGTATTCCTTTAGTTTTAATATCTTCAAACGCATTTAAATTACAAATTAAAAAATATTTTATTGAGATGAAACTGTTCTAAACTAACCTAACATAACTAACCAAATTTGCAGTAGGCTTAATCACCATTTCAAAATTTTGTTTGATAACAGAAAAGGCATATGGGGAATAGGATAAGCTCATAAAAAAGGAAAAGGTCATAAAATGGAATTTTAAAACGTTACAGCAAGTTTGGTTGGTTACGTTGGTTTAGAACAGTTTAATTGTAATACCGGTAGAATATTTTTTAATTGTTATGTTGTATGATATTTTTTAGGTAGTTGTGTTGATTGATACTAAACAATATTTATTTATCCTTATCATTAAGTCATTAAGTTGGTCCTAATATAACTAACGTCTCAGAGACACAACTAAGTTACCTTAACTTAAAACCCTATGTTACATACCCTGTTTGTAATAGCTATTTACATAAAGTGTAGTAAGAGCGTTTTTACATCACGCTCTTAAAGATTTTACCTGAACCGACAATATACAGGAGGTTACGAGAAATATTTTTCATTATTCATTTCACTCATCTTCTAACAGTAACGTTAATTTACAAACAAAAGCTAGGTTAGGAAAATTCTTCAAAGCATAACAATAAAATTCAAGCGCACAGCTGATTTCTAGCGTTGATCGTCGTTGGCTCCATAGAGGTATATGTTTTAAGTAAAACACTCAATGTTATTTAAATGGGTTTCATTACCTCACCGAGTGAGTTTTTTCAACTTTACATCACTCGAGAAGTAAAGAAGTTGTATACATCACGCTTGGGATAGGGAAGTTTAACATGGCGGGTTAGGTAAAAGAATTTACCTTAAATTAAGTAAGTTTTCTAAATTAAAAATTAAATTCATCACTATCGGATTAATATTTAAACTTATGTACTGTGTTCTATGTGTATATCACAGTTGTTAAAAAATGTTGCGGCCTATCCATTCGTCATCCATCCACAATCAAATTTCAAGCTAAAGCTTGCGTTTGTATAGGACAGACTAACTTAGTTAGTAAAACACTTCAGTTTCACTTGGCTACCTAACTTAATTAAATAACTTGGCGTAAGTTTAATTATTTTTCCTGATTTTCTTTTAACTTAACATATTTCAATTAAATACATCCATGTACCTATTAAAATCAATAAGAAAACAACGTGTAAGTTAAATAAAACCCCCCTAAACTTAACTATAAATATACAGTATAGGCTATTTAATATTATGGGTACAGTTTCTTAACGCTAACTTAATATCGATTGAGAATATCTCTTAGTAATAAATATTTTTAACTACCTATATCAATTTTAAAATGAAACTGACATAATCTAACCTAACTAACCAAACTTACTGACAATGAAAAAATCGATTGGTATACTAATCAAATTGATAGTTTCAATCCATATTAGCCTAGCCCAGTAAAGTTAAGAAACTGTACCCAATTTTATGTAACAAAGATATAATAATAATATATAATAAATATTTTAATTATAGAAAATTAATTGATTTGTTAATACCAAGTTAGCGAGGCCTAAGTTTAACTAAATTGGTTCTAGAAATTACTTATCTATGATTTGCCAAAAACGCAAATAAGTGAATAGATTTGATTATTTTATTTCACTAATACTTTTTCAGTATTAGGTAATCTTTTTGTATGGGAAAAATCGGCAATTCCTCACCAACATAAACAATAACAATAACATAACCTCAACTAACTTCAGTGAGTTACAACAGTAGCAGAAGATAATATCGCCATTTGCATCTTGCATGCAGTGCGCCTGAGCGGCAGACGATAGAACTAGGCAGACAACAGCTCCAACTCCAACGCTGTCTAAATCAGAGGAGAACCGCTGCCTGCAAGGTCAAGTTTCCTTTCCACAGTCCACATCCACACCACCACACGACAAGAAAAAGAAAACAAAACAAAAACAAAGCAAAGCACAAGGACTAAAGCAGTCAACAGCAGCGTTGCCAACACAACTTGTTCATTTTACCCGCAAATTCGGTGGTAATCCCCGGAATTACACGGAATCAAGTTTTGATTACCCGGAAAATCCCCTGAATTCTAATTTTAAAGATTTCGGCCAATTTATTGGTAGAAACTGCGTTATAACCACGTTGTAACTTGTAACGGTGCATTGAGAGAGTTATTGTTATTAATATTGATCAAATCTGGTTTAAAACTATGTTTTATTTATGATTGTACTAAAGCACTTTGATATACCAAATTAGCAAATTAATTATTTGTTTTTTAAGCTCTTTTAAAAGGTACGGAGAAAAACTGGGAAATTTTGTGTTTAGAGGGTAAAAAATTAGAAAACCCAATTTTTACCCCATAAAACCCCCCATAAAACCCCGTTCCCATAGTCCGATCATGCTGGTTCGCGAACTCATTCAAGTTTATCCCACCTTACACCTTCAAACCAAATTTCATCAAAATCGGACAAAAATTACCCAAGTTATCGTGTTCACGGACACACACAAAATAAAAAAATTTGAACGAATGATGTTTTTGGCCTCTGGGGACATCAAAATGAAAAAGTAAATCGGTCCCGCGCCTTGGTCTCACTATAGATAAAACATCTATACTGGCAATATGTACCTACTATAATAAGTATCTGGTCCTGGTCTTAGTTAAATCATAGATGAAGTAATATTAAATTTCGCGGCTGTCTGAAGGGTATATTGTATGATTGTATTTTTCCAGTCTGTAATTTTCCTTGGTTTACATCGTCGATCAAATGCCAGGTTGGTGTCACTACCATTACAATTTCATTGGGCAATGATTATGGGAGGTCAAAACTGCTATTTTATCCTAGAGGTCTTTCTCAATTAGTGGTCCTATCGGAAAAGATCAGCTGTAAAAACTGTGAACATCTGCTCTAATATAAACATAACCTCAACATACAGTTGATGTAGATGTATAAGTATAACTATTGAATAGATAATTTGGAATTTTAACTTATCTTTGATTGTTCAACTTTTAACTAATGATAATAATATTTC